TTTACTGTCCTGTCTGGAGCAGGTCTCTTGTAAACGAGTCCTTGTGGCTCCATGAAGCCAACCTGTATAAATAAAAGGTTGAATAAATTATTATATATATATTTATATTCATTCAACCTTTATTGATACAGGTTAGTCCCAGTGAGCCACAAGGACTCATTTACAAGAGAGACCTGGATTTTAGCAAAGAGTGATGACAACAGTGGATAACAAACTGTTTTTCAATTGTAAAACAAACAAACAATTTAAAAAACTTAGATTTGTATGAATCATTTGTGAATGTCTGTTGTTGTTATCAATGTCTTATTATCTTGTGCTCTGGTCCAGTGTCTTCATGGACGATGTGTGTGAGGGTGGACATGTTTGGAGGTTGCTGTGTTGAAGCTCCATGAATCAGCCTCTCTGCAGCTCTCAGCACCTTCACTGAGCCTTGAGGGAATCACTGAGCTGCTCTTGTTCTTCACAGTTAGAAGGTGGGAGCTCTCGTCAAATGATGATCTCCAGCATCATCTTGTTCATGCCAGGCTTTTCTTCCACTGACCACAGACACCTGGAAACATCAGGGGGACCAGTAGCTGTTTAACACATCTGGAAGGAAACCAGTGAGATTTTAATATGACCATTATGATATAATGTTATGGGGGGGAGTGGTGGAGCAGAGGCTAGAAGATGGGCCTGTGATCGGAAAGTCACAGGTTCAACTCCCGGTACGGTCAACATCAAAATGAGGTGGAAAAGGTGAAACCCCCACACCTGCCTCCACCCTCATTGGCCCCACCCTGGTCCCCTGAGCAAGGCCCTTAATTCCCACCATCTGCTCCTAAACAGGTCTCTCTAGAAAATGAGTTCTCGTGACTCAATGAGACTACCTGGATAAATAAAGGCTAAATGAAAAATAAAAGTTTAAAATAGAAATACTCACATCATGAGGTCAAGGTTGTGTGTGAGACGTGCACGTTCCTGAGGTTGTGTGTGTGACGTGCACGTTCCTGAGAGTGTGTGTGTGACGTGCACGTTCCTGAGAGGCCACAGACAGAGCAGCTCCAGTTTTTGTTGAGTTCCTGTAGTCCTGCAGTTTTCAAGCTGAAATGAAAAAGCATCATGAATATGAACTTTACAGTCTCTAGTTACCTGTTCATAGAAACACATGGAGGTGTCTCACCTTGTGACTCACAATAAAATATGTAACTTTATGAACTCTAATGAACTTATAATGATGCTCCTACTCTCTGAAGGTGAACCGATGGTACCACACCATCTCTCAGTCAGACAGTCTGATCAGTTTTATCAAAATCCTCCAGTTTAAAATCCGCACTGCTCAGATGAATCCTCCTCAAAGATACTTCCTCCTCTTCCTCACATCTTGTTCTTTGGGAAACCTTCAAAATGAAAACAGGAGATTTGTGTCTACACAAAAACATTGTACAGAGGAGGTCAATCTTATTTTCTATTTCCTATATTCTCCCTAGTTTTATTTTTTTATTTCCTAGAACTTAAACAAAACTCCAGTTTTGATGCACATCTGTTGATAATGAACAAAAACTACTGAAATAGTGAGTATGCTTGTTAGAAAAATATTCCTGTCATCAGATCTCAGTCAGCTTCATTGCAGCTGAACACCGTGTTACACTGAACATCACATCAGCTGGTGGACATAAATACAGTACAGTAATATTATATTCACAAAATACTAACAATAATATCTTCATCTTACTGAGAAAAGTTATCCCCCGAGACCTGACGTCAACAGTCCGTCGATTAGAACAGAAATAAGCTGCGAAGTGCTGAGACCTCTTCTGCTTTAACAAATAAGGACGACCGTTTCAAGATGGCGGCCGAAAATCCTGCGCCGCAGCAGCCAATGAGGGATCTACTGTTTATATCTATGGTTAAAAATACGAGCGTTGTGTTGGACTGACCTGACATTGCAGACAATAAGGCTAAAATGCCTTGTGATTTTTCTGCCAAAATGCTACGTAAATCTGTGATGTTTTGAATAGTCAAATAATTAGTCTACATATCTTGATTGTCATTCTGACTGGTCAAAATGTTAATTCAAGATATCTTATATAGAAAAGCTGTCTACATGAAAAAACATTCAAGATATCCTGAATTCATTTTGAGATATCTTAAAAGGAATTTTGACGTCATAAGTACAGTTCGAGACATTTCTAAGTTAGTTTTGCCTAGTCGTTATTTGCTATCAAGATATCTGCAATTTTATTTGCACTAGTCAAACCTTTATTTGTGTTATCTAAAAATACATTAAAAATAATAAAAATACACAGACCCCTATGATGAGCAAAACGAATGGAATATATATGTATGTATATATATATATATATATATATATATATATATATATATATATATACATATGTGTGTGTGTGTAT